ACCTGGTGGTGGAGGGAAAACAAACAAAACCACAACCCACACAAACTGGATTCCTAACAGAAACGGCCTGCGTCTCTGCCTCATGAGATATCTGTTACAAACTGTAATAAAAAAAAGTGATTGTTTACTATATAAGCTAGAGCTAATCTATTAGCATAGGCTAACGTAAAATCAAATCAGAAGATAGTAAGTTTCTCAATTCACTAGAACGCGAGTACAGACTTGTGTCCTCACCAAGTATGAGATTAGTTTTAGTGGATTATACAGTTAACATATATAACTACAGTAAGTAGTAAGTAAGTATGTGCAACTATGTTTTACAATGAATTATCCATTTCTAACAAACGTTTTTTATGCCTTATTAAGCATAAAAAACGCCTCTTTACTAAAAACAGCAGCATCTTATTACTCAAATTAAGGACAAATACACTTAATTTAAGATTTTTTTTTTCTTATTGCTAGACTGTTTTTGCAGTGTATAATCTGCGCATGCAGCCAGATAATTTAACTCGACAAGATTCTTTAAAGCAATATTAGTGTGTAAAGTTGGAGACATTAAATAAGAATGATGTAATATTCTCTTAGAAAAAATCGAACTTTTACATTTAAGTCTTTGGCTGCTGGGCCTTTATCCATTTTTCTTTTTCATTTTTTTGCTCTGTTTATTTTTTCTAGAGGACTGTTCTCCACCAGGCGAGTGGAGCGAGTGGAGCGTCTGCACGCGTGACGGTGCCACCTGTGGTTTCAGATGGGGGAAGCAGACCAGGGTTCAGGAGAGCAGCCAGAGCGGGAGAGCAGCCGGGGTGTGTCCGCCCCAAAGGGAAACGCAAAGGTGCAGGATGAAGAAAAAGTGTCCCGCAGGTGAGAAGGACTTTAAGTAGCTGTCTTTAAAGAGCAAAACTTGCAGATTGTTTGTTCACTGGAAACAACAATCTAGAAATAAGTACAAATGTCTTCAATTAAGTGTATTTACCCTTAATTTGAAAAGGAAAGTTAGATAGTTTGCCAATGGAATCAGTATTTCTACTCTTGAAATAATACAATGCAATTGTCTTTTTCTTATATTAAATGGGAATTGTCTTATTCCAGCAGCAAAATGTCTCTTTTATGTCATCAATTCAAGAACAAATGCAGTTATTTTAAGAAAAAAATGACTGATTTTTTTCCAGTGTTGATTAGGTGACAAGCAAACACCTGAGAGTTAGTCATGTTTTCACAGTCGTGCAATCAGTAATCTCAATCTGGAGGGATTGGACTTTTGTTTAACAAACTTTAATCCACGGTGCTGCACTGGAAAAACGATCTAGAATTAAGTAAAAAAAATTACTAAATGAAGTGTATTTACCCTTAATTTGAGTAGATAAATGAGATGGTTTGCCAAGGGAATTAGTATTTTTACTCTTAAAATAAGATAATTAGTTTATATGCACTTGAAATAAGACAATGCAATTGTGTTTTCTTATTTTAAGTTTAAATTGTCTTGTTCCATTGGCAAGATGTCTCTTTTACCTCCTCAATCCAAGAACTGCGCTTATTTTAAGAAAAAATGACTTATCTAGATTTTGATTTTTTCCAGTGTAATTAGATAATATGCACTTGAATTAAGACAACACAATTTTTTTTTTTTTTTTTTAAATGTAAATTATCTTGTTCCATTTGCAAAATGTCTCACTTTAGTCCTGAATTCAAGAAAAAATGCTATTATTTTAAGAGCAAATGACTTACGTAGATTACAATTTCTTGCATTGTTTGACCTACAATGAAAAAATGATCTAAAGACAAGTAATACATGTCTTAAATTAAGTGTATTTAGCCTTAATTTGAGTAGGTAAATGAGATTGTTTGCCAATTGTATTTTTTCTCTTAAAATAAGATAATTAGATCATTTGCACTTGAAATAAGACAATGCAATTGTGTTTTCTCATTTCAAGTGTAAATTATCTTGTTCCATTGGCAAAAGGTCTGTTTTATGCCCTCAATCCAAGAACAAATGCACTTATTTTAAGTAAAAATGACTTGTCTAGATTTTGATTTTTTTCCAGTGTATCTTATACTTAGAGTTGTATGAGATATTTGGCAAATTATCTCATTTACCTACTCAAAATAAAGGTAAATAAACTTAATTTAAGAAATTTTTACTTATTTTTATATCATTTTTCCAGTGAAGATTATACAAATCGTCTCTTTGCATCAGTAGAAACACACTTTTACATATCACAGTTTTTTATTGTGACCTGATTTACAAAGACCGTCTAACCTTTAAAAGAGCCTTCTTGGTCATCTGGTGTTATAAAACCCAAGTTATAAAGTTTGGTAACTTTAGTAGCAAAGAAATGTAGTCCAGCCACGCAAACACATGACGGGACGGCAGCTTCCTCCCTATAAAAAGGTCGGATCCAGCTGGTCTTTATTACTGCGGCATTGTGAACATCACACGCAAATATAAAGATAATAAAAAGTAGCGGGAAAAAAATCCAATAACCTTCATGTTTTTAAAGCCAGTGTTATAAAACTAATAAAAAAACCTTTTCAAACTAACTTCTCCTCATAACAGATTTTCTCCAGGAAACAGCAGTTTGGTAACAAATTACTTCCTAAGAATAAAAGTATATTTTTAAGATTCTTAACCCTTTGTTGAGAGTTAGTTTGTTCATTTATATATATCAATATATTTGAAATCATTTATAACCCCAATTAATTTGATTGCCCCATTCATTCAGAATTAAACTATCATAGAATGAAAAATAAATCGGGATTTTCATTCATAAGCCACTTTCTCTACTTGGGCCTTTGGCACTCATGCCCCCTTTTCCCCCATTGGCACACCCATGCTGTAAAGTAAACTTAATGCCTGCAGAGCTGAATAGAAATGGACACCACACAGAGATTTCCTGTTTAAAACACTTTAAAGCTCAAAGCTGTGTTCTTTTTTTCTTTTTTTTTACTTCCCCTTCAGTTTTATCATTTTTAATCAATCAAAAAAAATTACAATGAAACTTAATGAACTTATTGATGACCTTAATGTCATGAAAATCTTCAAGGAATGTTAATATTTTCGCACTGATTTATCTCTAAAATAATTGTAGTTATGAGGGTCTAAACTGCAAAAACAATTTAAAAAAGAAGTAAAAACTAAAATCTGTGTAATTTAACAAAGCTCAAATTAACAAAAAAAATCACTTATTTTAAGAAAAAAATGACTTATCTAGATTTTGACTTTTTCCAGTGCAGCGACTGATTGACAGAGAGCACGCTGAATGGTTATTCTGAAAATAAAAATAAGTATAAATAATCTAAAAGCTGACAGTCAACTACCACTTAAAGCTGTGCATCCTGTGAAATGGCAGAGGTTGAATCCTGGAATAAAAAAATGAAAATAAAAGATTCATTTTACAGCAGAAAATACTAAAGTATATCCATGTCTAGTGAGGTGAAGAATGATGAAGTATGCACTGGAAAAAGGATCTAGCAATAAGTAAAAATGTCTTAAATTAAGTCTATTTACTCTTAATTTGAGTAGGTAAATAAGATGATTTGCCAATGGAATTAGTATTTTTTCTCTTAAAATAAGATATTTAGATAATATGCACTTGAAATAAGACAATGCAATTACATTTTCTTTTTTTAAATGCATTGCAAAAACAATCTAAAAATGAGTAAAAATTACTTAAATTAAGTGTATTTACCCTTAATTTAACAATGATTTGCCAATGGAATTAGTATTTTTACTTTTAAAATAAGATAATTTAATAACATGCACTTGAAATAAGATAATGCAATTATGTTTTGTTATATTAAATCTAAATTGTCTTGTTCTGTTGGCAAAATGTCTCTATTATCTCCTTAATTCAAGAACAAATGCAGCTATTTTAAGAAAAAATGGCTAGATTTAGATCTAGATTGATCTAGATTTTGTTTTTCTCCAGTGTGGGGTACTTTGACTCTCCACTTTCTTGGACCTGCTGTATAGTACTTTACATTCAGCGTGTGATATTGCTAATACTCTCCTACAGAGTAACCACGGACTTTGCTTCCATCTGTCTACATTCAGTCTAACAGGATTACGCTTCTTCTCAACCGCTGCATTCCTCTCCTGGACGTCATCCAGAACCACCATTTGTCCAGATTGTTCTCATTTGTGGTCCCATGATAGAAGAACATCCTTTAAACATGCAAGGAGCATAAGGGATTCCCTTGTTTCCTTGAAGAACCGCATGAAACACTAAAACCACGCTTATTTTGCACTTGACTACCCTATCTACTTGATTAAGACCGAAACCCAGGGAGCTGTTTCAGGTCTGACGCCTACATGTTGGTTCTCAATCATTACCGGCTGCGTTTGGGGCTCTAAGTGTAAATATTTTGTTGTGTAAATCCTGTCAGAACCAGTTTAAAGGGTAAAAGAGGAGAAAAATAACAGAAAGCGTCCTCAGTGTCTTCGGCAGAAAAAGAAATATTGCAGTGACAGAACTTGGCTCTGGGTTTGATTAATAATAAAACCTCAGACTGATTAAAATTTGATTTGGCACAGCTTGTTGGCTTTCCCATCAAACCAAGTTGTTGTTGAACAGGAAACTGTGACACAGTGCAGAGGATGGGACAGCAGCTTGTTTAAAAGTGCAGATATCTCTTTTTCAAAGGCCTGCGGCTCTGAGTGTTCCTACTTTTCTGCAATGTAAGGCTTGTCATTCAGAGTAATCCTCATTACCACTGTCATGCTGATGCCCTGAAGGAAGAAAGCTGATCCAGGAGGGTAGGGTTCTGGGATTGAGCCTGTGGGCCTAATAGTACACATCTGGGATAAAAGAGTCCTGTGGCATTTCCCTGACATTCCTCTCTTGTCCCAGATTGCACAGCTTTAGTCTTTTACTTCTCCATCTCCTGCTGTCCTATCATCTTTAGATGAAGAGAAACGATATCCGTTGCCTTCTTTTCACTGTCTGCCTTCATCAAGGTTTCAATCACTTTAAATGCTGCACAGTTGGGTTATATAAAAAGTATGAACAATGATAATCAGAACTGGCTGGCAATATTCCCTTAATTGTAGAGGAGAAACAATAACAACACAAAGATGTTAGGAAATCACTCATAGCGTGTGGTTATCCAAAGTGGGGCGTTTGTACAGAATGTGAAAGAAAACTGCTGGGAACACGGTGTAGAAAACAGAGAGACGCAAAAACGCTGTGAATCAATATGTGCCAGGAATTTACGGAAGCATATTGCATTGACCAAAGAAAAACATCTGACAGCTTATCTCATAATTACGAGATCAGTATGAGATTTAATCTCATAATTACGAGATCTTTCCTCAAAATAATAGTAAGATAATATGTGATATTTAGGAGATCAGGAAGGACATTCATTGCCGAGGTACGGTTTGTGAAATGCGAACAATGCCGGATTTAATCTTTTATTTCCTTTTAGATATGCTACAATGGGAAATACTGAGTTTCCTCAATGTGGATGGAATTAGTTTTAGTTTGTCAGCTTTGCGCAGTAAGTCCTTAGAATTGTTTAGGCGAAAAAGCCCACTCTACTGACTTGCTGGAACTCGCACTGTTTCTGCAGGAGCCATTAAAGCAGCACAGGATGCATTCTAGCTATGAATGGACACATTTGGGGCATGCCTTGGTGGCGCAGTGGTTAGCGCACTCGACCCATATATGGTTGCCTTAGTCCTCGACGCAGGTTCGAATCTTTTCCTTTTTGTTTTCCCCTCACATACCCCCTTTCCTGTCTGCCTACTGTCCATAAAAAATTAGCAACTAGTGACATAAAAACTTAAAAAAAAAAAAAAAATAATGCATGGTGGTGTCCCAAAGAGCTGTCTGCAGGTACCTTCTCAAAATCCTAAATCTGCA